AAAGGCAAATATATTTTCTCTATTATGAAGTTAGATATAAATAACTGAGTTCATTATATTGAAAAATTTTTTTTTATAATCTTAGCTGGCAATGAAGATATCCTTTTTGAATTGAAAAATTCTACGAATACGATGCCACCGTACATACATAGTTTGTCTCAGCACATAAAGGAAATTGGAGATGTAAATAATTACCAAGTTTTTGCGTCGATAATGAGCAAAAGTAATAAAAATTTGTTTTCTGCTCATATAGACTACGTGAACAAAGATAAAAATACCCCAGTAATTGTTGTTCACAATATCAAAAGGGAAATTTCTAGTTTTACAACAACTTGTTTGATTAAGCTCGGATGGATTATTGTTGGACCGTTAACAAACTTCGACTTTAACGTCCAATTTCCATTGGCTTTTAAAAGTATGAAACAAAGTGTAAAACATATATCAGAAGAAAATCATAGCACCGTAAAAATTACTAATTACAAAACTTGTATTTTGGGCATTTGCGCGTTAGAAGCGGATTCTCAATCAAGTTCTATTGGTAATATTGATTTCACGAGGAAAGAAAATTTTCCGTTAAGTTCTGTAAGCACCACAGAATCAATAGGGATCATCCAATATGACCTAAAATATGATCCAAAAAAAATGGACATTGTTATTGGTACACATTTCTCAACTTATAAAGAATCAGCATGTTTGTTTGTTTATAACCTTATAGACAAGCCTGTTGACGAAACGGTGTTGCGAAACTTATCGCTATACACATGGTGAGCTAGGTGTTTTATCGTTATTAGCTTGTAATCATATCATAATTTTTACATTTGTATTTTATAATAGTGTTGTTGATGTTGATACTGATGAGAGGTTTAATTTTGGCCAAAAGCGTGTTAAGTGGGAACATTCTGAGCAGGAAGAAATATCTTTCACTGAAATCGAACCAAGTATACTATCTAATGATGATTTGATATTAATAAGTCAACTTTTTAATGATTGTCCGAATTGTAAACGCGGGTTTGTTAATGTCAATTCCAATACTGGTCAAGTTATTTACAAATCATTGAATTCTGAACTCTTGGATTCGGTCGAAAATATTGCATATCTTTTAATTCCTCAGTAAACAAATCCCTATAAAAATTTTTATTTGAATATTTCATTTTTCTGTAAACACACTGTAACGAATTATTCTTAGTTTATTTATTTTTATGTAACTATTTTATTTTATTTCATTTTTATTTTTATCTTTCTTGCGTTTTATTTTTTTTCCTTGTTTATAGTTTTGATTAATATAATACTGTATCTCAAAAATTAGACGAAGCTGAAAACCTTCCAAGAGAGTCACATGATAAATCTACCGAATGTGGAAACAAAGATAGAGCATCATTTTCTTCCTTTCCCTCAACAATAAATGCTTCTTTTACTTCAACAATGGATTCTTCTTTTTCCCAGATAATGGACGACGAAATTGGGATCACAATAATCAAGTCAGATTCAGAAAATAATAGGACAGAGTTTTATACGTTTTTTCCTCGAAAGGAAACTCTCAATTTTATTCGAACTAAACTTGAAGAATATGATGAATTTTATATGGGAACTAATTGTCATTTTATAAAAAATAAGGCTCCAATTTCACGAAAAGATGAGTCAAAATTGAATTTTATGCAAATAATCGAGACACATGATAATGGTAACAATTTTTTATATATTAAAGAAAAGGCAGAATTCGATAAGTTACGGTTAAAAAATGAGAAAGGTTTCAAATTTGATATAAATGGCTCTATTGAAAGTGCAAGCGATAAAGCTTTTAAAATCGATATCAACAAAATTGAATTTTCGGATCCAGGATTTGTTCGTGAAGAAAAAGAACACAAATGCAATCATGCACCTAACGCTAATTGTAAACGAAACCTTATAATTGATGAAAAGTTTTCAGTTGCTTTAGAATGGGTTTGTAATTCGCTTAAATTATCTTGGAAAAACTCTAAACATTCTAACATACATTTATGTGAATGGCGACCCAAAAAAGAGATTATAATTTCAGACATTAGTGCAACAAATGAATTTATCAGAGATGTTAAAGCTGCATTAAATAATAATGAAGATATAATAAAGCATCTTAGTTACGTATCGGAAAAGTATGGTCATTTTTATGCGCATCATCTTGTTTTGGGAGGGGCTAGAGTTAAAAATAAATCACATGTCGTAAATTCAGGTAAAAATTCATGATATGAATCTTTTTAAATTTAAGCCACAAAATAACTTTTTCTTGGTTACTGTATATGTACAACAGGTGAATATGGACTCAAACTCAGCTCTATGTTTAGATTCGGATTTGGTACTAACGCCAACGTTGAGAATGCGCAGAGTTTCCATGGCGACAATTATACCTCTATTATCGGTGGAAACAAAGCTAAATATTTTCAAGATGGCATGAAATCTTGGGACGAATCTCTCAAAGATGCGTCTACATGGAAAATAATTGGATATGACAAAATTTATTCATTGTTTGATTTGTTGAATGAAGATTTACAAAAAGAAGTTTTGAATGCTTTTAGGCCATCGAGTTTTGAAAGGTAAAATATTTTCTCTGATTAATATAAAGATATACGTAAAAATAACTTGTTTTATTATATAAATATAGCTGGTACTGAAGATATCCCTTTTAAATTGAAAAATTCCATGAATGCAATATCACCACCGTACATACACAATTTGTCTCCGCACATAAAGGAGATTGGAAATGTAAATAATTACCAAGTTTTTGCGTCAATAATGAGCAAAAGTAATAAAAATTTGTTTTCTGCTCATATAGACTATGTGAACAAAGATAAAAATACCCCAGTAATTGTTGTTCATAATATTAAAAGGGAAAACTCCAATTCTACAATTTGTTTAGTTAAGCTCGGATGGATTATTGTTGGACCGTTAACAAACTTTGACTTTAACATCCAATTTCCATTAGTATTTAAAAGTATGAAGCAAAGTGTGAAACATATGGCATCCATAAAAGAAAATCATAGCACTGTAAAAATTAATAATTACAAAACTTGTATTTTGGGTATTTGCGCGTTAGAAGCAGATTCTCAATCAAATTCTACGGGTAATAATGACTTTACGAGAAAAGAAAATTATCGGTTAAGCTCTGCAAGCAGTGTAGATATTACAGAATCAACAGAGACCGTCCCATATGACCTAGAATATGATCCAAAAAAAATAGAAATTGTTCTTGGTACACATTTCTCAACTTATAAAGAATCAGCATGTTTGTTTGTTTATAATCTTAAAGATATAGACAAGCCTATTGACGAACCGGTTTTGCAAAACATAGCGCTATACACATGGTGAGCCAAGAAAGTGTTTTATCGTTATTAGCTTGTAATAATAACATTATTTTTACATATGTTCTTTATAATATTGATAATCAAGAGAAGTTTAATTTTGGTCAAAATCCTGTTAAATGGGAAAGTTCTGATCAGGAAAAAATATCTTATGCTAAAATTGCCAAGATTGAACCTAGAATGTTATCTAATAATGATTTGATATTAGTGAGCCAACTTTTTAATGATTGTCCAGATTGTAAACGCGGGTTTGTCAATGTCAATTCCAATACTGGTCAAGTTATTTACAAATCATTAAATTCCGAACTTTTGGATTCTGTTGAGAAAATCGCTTATCTTTTAATTTCCCCCGTAAACAAATCTAAAAATTAGATTGTGCCGTTTATATTGGATAGATGATTTGTTATCAATTTTATTGGTTACTTCATTATACTTGTATATATATAGTTATATATTAGCGGAGATAGTAAAAAAAGATCCTGTTTAGGGACTTTTCACTCACCTGGGTATGTTAGAAGTTGCTTCAAATGACCATCGATTAAAAAATTGACATAAATTTTACACAATTAAAATGAACGTATGTCAAATTTTTAATAAATATTTAAATATGTAATGAACTTTTTTAAAAAAAATTTTTTACATGGCTTTGAAAAATTATATAAATACACGTAATTGAAAAAATGAAAGGCATTTAATGAATCGTTCAAAATAAATTGTTATCTATTTTACAAGTTTATAATTTATTTATCAAACTAATTTTAATATTTTATTATGGACATTTTTATATGGTGCCCCATGCATTTGTTGCACTCCCTAAAATTTTCTAGGGCAACTTCTGTTTTGTAACTATTGAACTAATGAAAATTGCTCCTCGCAATTTTACTCTAAATCTTTATTAGGCTATTATTAAACATAGAGGTGCACTAAATGCAGAGGGACACTATAACATTTTAAAATTTTTATAAATACAAAATTTACTATTTACAATTTATAATTTTTTTGTGTAACAAGAAAATTCAATTACGAACTAGTATGTAACCCATCGCTTTGCTGACGGCTAAAAATAATAATATTAAGAGTAAGAAAGAAAGAAATGATGTCATGATAGTCAATTAAAATGACTTTCAATTAAATCATAACGAGATCATAACGTATAATGCTGTAATGTGCAAATCATCTAACGGCACACAAAATTGCCGCTTTTTAACAAATTTTAAAGTTGCCTGACGTACGTAAGTAGTCTCCAATTACGATCGTGAAATCAAAAATTTTTATTCAATGCAATTGATTGATCTAATAATAAAAGAACGTTTTGAAGAAACTCCAACAAATTTATATGAAAGCTTGGTTAAACCAGTTTTATATTGAATTTAAAGATGTTTCATATTATATGGTTGAATTGGTTTGGAATAGTGCTTATGAGAATGTTTATTTCTCTGTTGCTCTGAAAAAATATAATCGAATTTTTATAGGGAAATATATGTTTTTTTGCTTACTTTTAAAGTCGTCTTTGGAATATTAAAAATGAAAAATGATATAGATATTCTGGGACATTGTTTCCTTTGATCGATTTTATTAATTACTCTAAGGGGATCAACATTAGACGCAGAAGCTTATTACAATCAAACCTCTCTATAGTTACACCTACGGGATACAAAAAGCGGGCTTATAGAGAAGTGTGCTAATTATAAAAGTCAAATTTATTATATTTAATAGTACTGTAGTAAATAGTTTTTAAAATAATAGGCTTATAAAGAAAATGTGGTTATATAGGAGGTGATTATAGGGAGGTTTGACTGTACTTTTAAACAATTTCATCATCACAATAAGCTAAATGTAAACTATTTCCACAAATAAATTCAATTACTTGATTATCTCGGCAAATAAGGGTCCTCATGAAAAACTATATATTCGATTTTATCGGCGGTGAAGGCTTCGCTATGGTCAAAAGAAATATTCGAAGTTTCATGCTCAATAACTAAGTTCAACGAGATTTGCATGATTTGTAAACTTATCACGGCGTCAGACCCGAAATCGGCAAGTCTGTCGCTTGGTCGAAAGTTGGCTCGTGTAACCAAAGTTTAGGTTACGTTGGGTCGAAAGAGGCGTGTTAGATTTGGACGAGTGGTTAATAACGAATGTATATGGTTTATTATGTGACTTAGATGGTTATTATTTTTGGTAAAACAGGCGTTATTCTTCCCGAAGGGCCAACAGGCCTTTTTTTATAATGATTAATTCATCTATTTACATTTGCAGGATCAATTAGATATTTACTATCATTACGATCGGTCTTATAGCTAGTATTATTAGGATTCTTCTTATCACCGGAATTAGCCTTATTGTCCAGATCCTTGCAATCGCTTAAGATCGGGATTATCGGTATAATCGCACATTACAGCTGTTTTCATAAATTCTGGGACACCTAAAAATTTTCATGTCTCCCGAAACCTCTTCGAACTTATTCTTAGAATCATTTAACTTTTCGGAAACTACTTCGCTGTCTCCATATCGAAGTTCCAAGTACAGCGAAGTAGTTTCCGAAAAGGTAGGTGATTCTTAGAATGAGATCGAAGAGGTTTCGGGAAACGAGAAAATTTTTAGGTGTCCCAGAATTTATGAAAACAGCTGTAACGTTAAACCTATATAATCGCACCGATCGGAGATATCGGTGGAATCGGGCCGGGAAACCTAAATTTAGAATACCGAAATCACGAGGGCATGCGCCTGCTTCAGGTCTCACAACGGTATCTTGATTGATTAATTTATTTAAATATACTGTATCATAATATGGAGGATATTTTAACGAATTAAATATGCTTAAGATAAATAGGATACGGGACACATAGTTTTATTAAGTTAAAAATTATAATTAGTGAAAAATAACCGGCGAGTTTACAATTCCAGTTAACAAACTCAAATTATCTATTTATGGCACTGACTTAACTAAACCAATTAGATAAGTGTAAAGTGATTCTCAATAAGTATCTACTTTTTGTTATCGGCATAACATAGATAATATATGAATACTGGTAAATATGTAAATATGCAGAGGCAGTCGGGTTGATGTTCTTTATCATTATTTTTTGTATTTGCAGCATTTCAATGAAATTTAATAAACACATGAGGAACGATAAACCTGTTTAAACTTTTGATTTATCGTAGCAATTAAGTGTTATTACAATTCTTAGCGAATCACAGAAAGAGTGATACCTGAGCAAATCTTAATAATATTACTATTCGTACATATTGTTGCAGTATTTATTTTTATCTAAAATTTTACAAGAATAACGAAAATAAATTAAATCATTTGGAACAAATTTAGTATCCCTTGAATTTGTGACAGGTTGGTGGCAAGCTAAAAAAATTCAAATACAAATTACAATGGTAAAAGTTATAAATTTTAATAATAAAACGAAACCCCTTATTTCTTTTGATTCGTGTTCGGAAAACTATATTTCCCTTTGTTTTCTTCACTTCAAACTATTAATATAAAATTTTATGTTTTCAAAACTTTTTACAGTCCAGAATGACAATAACTGATCAAATTTTTAATTAAATCGTAAAATAATAACTATTGAGAGGAAGTATTGTACAGTTTATAAAAGAGTTATTTAATAAAAGGATATTTCCGCATAGTCTACCTGTGCCATATCTTTACACGAAAAAGAATAATAGTAACGCACTCCCTAACCTACCCATTAAAAGGGATTCAATTTAAAACCAAATTTTATAAGTTTCGTTAATTACACGTACTTTTTAAAATACCACATACAAAGCAATTACATGTTTCTGTTAAGTATATTAAAAGAAACTTGAAAGCACATAACAGTTGGCAAGTCAAGGCAGAAATTTTTATTCAAAAAAAAAATAATTTTTTTACAAACGTACGAAAATAAATGCTGAAGTACAGTAATAGCTCTAATGTCAAATGTGAACTTGATTTGTGTAAATCTTTGTGGAGGTATTTTTCAGATCAGTATGGTATAGGTGGGCAGATTAGTATAGTATAGGCCAATTTTTAAATCTATAATATACGGACCAGGTATTATATGGGCTAGGTGCTGGAAAAAGGACCGAAAATGACAATTTTTTTAAAATAGATTTTTTTAAATAAATCAATTTAGAATAAGGTTAGGATCTTTTTTTTATTAAGAAACAAAGTAGTTGTATTAATAAAATTTTACAAGATAGCTCTTTAAAGTTTGTATTTTCTTATAATCTATTATAAGATTTACAACACAAAAATTGATTTTCTGAAGATTTTTTATTTTGTCATTTTCGGTCCTTTTTCCAGCACCTAGCCCATGTAATCATCATAAACATTCATGCTTTGACTTTTAAAATCGATGAAAATTCATTATGATCCAACTTCTATAATCGCACTTGAGGATAATCTAATACTGTATGTACACAACATACATAATTATCTAATAACTTTAGTAAATTTCTTTGAAAACTTTGTAAAATTTGAGTTAGCCAGGTCAATACCAGTGACGTAAGATCAATTAGTGTTAGTAAGTTAGTGATTGGTTCTCTTCTAGCACACGTTGTTCCCAGCTAAATATATTGAAAATTACACGTTAATTACGTTTTTTGCTTTTTTACATAAATTATCTAATGACATTTAGCATACTTCAAAATATAAAAATAATTATAAATAGATTAAAAAATAATAAACTTACACTAAAATAATTACAAAATGGGATATGAATCAAAAAATAAACAAAAAGTCGTAAAGTGTTTAAAGTGTTCTGCAGGACAAAAAATTGTAAGGTGTTTAGATTGTTTTGCAAGACAAAAAATCAAAATTGCAGATATTATAGCCAAAAACAGCAAAAAAAAAGATCTGAAGCAAGAAAAAAAAAAAATCCAAAAAGAAACGCCCTTGCCTTTGACTCCAACTCATGAAGTTACTGTACTTCATTCTGAAGGTATTCAAATTTTTAATTTTATCTTTTAAAAAAAATTATCTTTTTAAAATACCTTTTATAAAAAACCAAGATTATAAAAGAACTTTGACCAAGATTTTGGAGAATCAAGATTTGATTCTCAAAAGGCTTGATCAATTAATGACAAGAATGGACCACAACGAAAATCGCTTGAAAGTATTAAGTATGTAAACTGTCGCATTGCTCAAAATTCGTATTTTAGCAGAACAAATTTTATGTATTAAATTTTTAATAACAATTTAAAATACAGGAATTATTAAATAATGTACCCGTAGAAAAATCACCAGGTAGCCTGTCAACGGATTATAATTATCTCTAAAAATATAAATCAAGAATATTGTATTTCTCTTCATTACATCACATCAATTATTAATCTTACTACTATAGTAATTACGCTAGTTGGCTAAAATTGCAAATGTAGAGTGATATAACCTTTGGCTTTTTGGTATTTCACTTGCTTTTCAGAATCCTTTATGCACATGTCTTCGTAAATATTTTCTAAAATTGGTTATAATCCTAAATCCAAAGTATACTGTAAAACTAATATCCATGCAAAATATTATCAACATGAAAGTCTACATTGCGCAGTGAATTTACATAAACCACCTAAAATATTCCAATTAGTTTTTCATTTACGCAGGATCTTGAAAATAATTTTAAAACCTTATAAAGAATTCTATTATCTTTATATTGAAATACCAATTAAGTATTCGTTTTTCTGCGTTTAAGTAGTTCATACATTTTTAAACTTACCATCAACAAATTTAACTTTCATATTTTATAAATTTATAAAAATTAATTAGTTCAATATACACTTAATAAACTGTGTAATTGTGTTAGATAATCAATAATTTTTTATTATTATCCAATCTATCAAACGGAATTTACCCAATATGAGTTAGTTCTTAGTTGAAACTTTTTATGCATCCTTGAGTTGTTAAGAACGCATGTCTGGTACTATCTACACTAGCTTTGTATTCGTTACAAAGTGTACACCCATAAATAATATTTTCATACTCATTTATATGACTCCAAAATTTAATGCAAAATAATTTTTCTATGCGTTTTGATGCATTTATAATAGAAATATAAAAAATGTAGTTTCAGCATTTTCCGTCTGTAATGCCCTGATTTGCGATATACCTGATACGTACAGTACGTACGTAGCTGGTAGGGAATACATTCATTCACAAGAATTTACATAACAACAGTAACGATATATACATAATGTATAAGTTCCTGATTTAGAATTCACATCATTATCCAGGAATTTCTAGTGTTCTACCTTGTCCCAAAGTGTTATTTCATCAATCATGGTTTACTCGAGCTCAGATGTTTATTCTTTTGGAATAATCATGAAAAATTTCCGTTTGGCAAAATTCTTTCGATGGAATCTTATTTGATATCGATCTCATGATAAAAATTTACTTTGGATTGCGACCTGAATTTGCCTCCAGAATTCCTGACTGTTATGTTAAATTGGTAAGGCAATACATGAACCTGATCCAAAAAACGACTTACTATTATGGATATATGGATACTCAAAATAAACGAATGGAATAAAGTTCAGATGACTTGAAAGTAAATGAAATAATAGGCAAGTACATACATATGTACTTATGTGTGAAAGCAAGCAATGTGATAACGATAAAACTTTGCAATTATGAGCTAATTTTTCGGTAATCTTGTGGCTTTCTGGCCTCTGACATTGCAGCAATGCAGCTTATGGTTCAATGCGATGCTTTTGTATCAAACAATATGGCAGTGTTATCCGTATTAATTTTGCTCTAGTTCTTCAATATAGCCTTATAAAAAAGATCATATAATAATTAAGATTCAACCTTACTTTAAAAAGAAAGACTCGATTATCGAATCGTTAGGTGAAATCTATTAACAATAACTTTCTTAGATTACCTAACCTTCTCTTATAGTTTATTGCAAAGAGGCCACAATCTTGAAAATTAATATCTTTAATAAATAATTATAGATTTTTTTGTTGGTGATTAGCTTTGAAAGTCCAGATTATCTATTAAGAAACATATTGCAAAGAACTATGGCTATTTAAACAATTTCCTCCTTCAAATAATATAACAAAGTTGACACTAGATTTTTGAGGCGTCACCACAAAGCTAAAAAAAAAAAAAATCTTCTACAGTGCAGGAATCCTTAAATCAACATATAAAATACATAATTTTTAAAAGTTTATAAATCAAAAACCAAAATAGATATCAATTAAATCTCTTTATAGAATAATAAAATCGAACCTAAAAAACAAAACTATAAGCTTGGTTTTTTGAGTTAATTAAAATTTAATCAAATTATATTCATTTAAAGTTACCCAATTTTATTAATAAAATTAAAATTTGGCCGGTCACGTGATCCAAAATAAAGCCTTCTATTGGCCAAAATGCGTGAAAAAAAACTGTGTAGTCAGAAGTTTAATATGATTGGTTGGCTGGTTATAAGAATATATCGGTTAGATAAATGAACCTTATCTCTGTTGTTATGCAAAGCCTATTGTAGTTTATGCATTATCATATTACCAAATCTGTAATAATGCATTAAATATGTAATCATAGTGTAGGCGTTATATAAATTGAATGGTAAATTAGAAATTTATTTTCCAAAAATGAATAAACCATTTTGGAGGACTCAAAGTCGTAAATACGAAGGAATAATACGTATAGAGATGTTATGAAAGGTGTTATTTGTACTAGGTTAAAGGAAGATACAGAATAAAACATAGTGTTGTATGTGGTTGTGGGCAAGATGAACAAATATGGAAAGTTAAAACTAGAGCTTACATGGGTAAAAGCCCATTTTTAACACATTTGAAATCTAATAGATGAATCGGCGAAGAATAGGTGGGTAGATGGGGAAAAAAGTAACTGAATATATGAAATTAATTGAAATAAGCCAACTCAACAACACTTTTCTTGAAATAGCACAATATGAACATTTAAAATTAGCAGGTTAATACCTGCCAAAGCCTTGATGAAAGAATCATCTTTATTGTATGATTTGTGATAGGAAAAAATCTAGTGCATTCGATTTATCAAATGCATAAAGATTGATTCACATGTTGTTTGATACTTGTAAATGGTTTGCATAATGAAAATATCATATAAAAGTGTGATAAATCTCTTTTCATTAAATTTCAAAAATTGTGAAGGGCATATCTTGTCTCACGGTTTAGCATCAGAAGACCTACAATAAAAAAAAAAAGAAAAAAAAAGGTAAATAAATATAATCAATTTAATCAAAGATAAGAAAAGTACTTACATGAAAGCTGGCATTTAGGACCTAATCGGCTTTACTCATAATTACTAAAAATGACACGATTATCTAAAAGAAAGGTTCATTTATGGAAGTTCAGAGTACAAAAAAAAACTAAAAACCAGCACCAGATAAAAGCTTTAAGAACTTACAGTAGCAGCGATGAACCTAGTGACGTTGAGGATAGTGATGTAGAAATAAGTATTTTAGAAGATGAAGAAGCGAATAGCATAATTACAAGACTGTTGCTAGCAGTTTTAATAATCGGCCACTTGTGTATATTGGAAATTCGGAAAGAACAAGAAGGTGACAAAAACAATTATTGCAACAAGCTGCAGTTGGAACATCTAAGTTAGAGTTATTTTGGTTACCGGTAGCTATTTTTTTGATATTTATTGATAATATAGTTAGTGAATTGTGTTTTAATATTTATTGAATTATTTTTTTTTTGAATAGAGAGTGGATACATATATGAGTGATGGTGTGGATATGAATGATGAACCGATTGGTTCAGATAGTGACTCTGAAAATGATTTTGAGATTGAGGCTATAAGAGACCATAATATAATGTCTTCTGAAATCTTGAACAGTAAAATTGAACAATTGAAAGAAGAAATCAAAAGCGATAAATATAGTGAGGTTGAGAAGGCTTGCCTCTATACAATGCTGTCTTATTTACATCTTGTGGAACATGGCCGACAAAGAGTTGAAGCAAGCATCATTGTAGCGGAAGCAGCTAGAAAAGGTGCTTATCATGCCCGATGTATACGTTCATGGACAATAAATTATATTTTAAATAGAACAATTCTGATTTCAAGACAGGGCAAACATCCCAAAACCTGGAGTTTCTTATGGGACGATGACATTTTGATACAGATTAAATCCTTTCTCCGATCAAACAAGTGGTGTGTTAATGCAAATGAATTGGCAAAACACGTAAATGAGAAAATACTTCCAGGCCTTTGTTTTGATCTATCACTAATGATATATGTAAGAACAGCTAAAAAGTGGCTAAAAACATTTGGGTTTGAATATTCAGAGGTTAGAAAAGAGATGTATATGGATAGACACGAGCGTGCAGATGTAGTAGCTTATCATGAAAAATTTTTAAAAAAAATAGAGAAATATGAAATGCATATGATAATTTTCTCTGGTGAAAATATGGAAGAGGAAATTAGACCAGCTACTCATGATATTATAATATTAGTAACATACGATGAGTATATTTTCTCAGTGTATGATGAAAAACATTAGTTATAAATACCGAAAGGGGAGCAGCCACTTCGCAAAAAAGGCCAAGGAAGTCTGTTCATATAAGTGAATTTCTTACTGATGTTGGTGGATGTTTAACATTAAGTGAAGAAAACAAGGTATATATATGATTTTAAACTTTATTTCAATTTACTTTTTTTCATAATTAAAGAACCCTAATTAAATTTTTTTTTAGATCGCTTTTTCTAATCTCCCACCAGAAGCATGTGTTATAACTTATCTGGGTAAAGATGGTAATAAGTAGTGGGACTCGGATGATCTTGTAGACCAGATAATTAATCATGCAATCCCAATCTTCGAAGCTCAGTTTCTAGACGCAAAAGCCCTTTTTGCATTTGATAATGCGACCAGTCATCGCGTATATGCTGAAGATGCCCTTTTGGCAAAAAATATGAATTTATCTCCTGGTGGCAAATAGCCCAAAATGAGGTTTGTATATTTTTATATATATAGACTGTGTTTTGACAGAACACCACCCATTTTTTCTAGCATATGTTAATGATACTTTAAATTTTTTATATATTCAATATTTTTAAATGTTTAGAAGCACCACATATGGAAATAATATTCATCAAGATATGTGTTTTTCTGAGAATTATAAAGATTCTAAATTGCCAAAAAGCTTAAAGGAAGTTTTGCGTGAAAGAGGATTGTGGCATGATAGAATGAAGTTGGTATACAAAGGAGGATGTAAGCAAGAAAGAACTAATTGCTGCACTAGAACTACAATGGCAAATCAACTAGATTTTATAGCACAACATGAAAAACTTGAGGAGGCAATTATTGCCATAGGCCATAAAGTTATTTTTTATCCAAAATTCCATTATGAATTAAATTATCTAGAAAACTTCTGGGGTTCAGCAAAGCGATATGCACAAAACCACTGTGACTATACATGGGAAGGTTTGAAGAGAACAGTACCAAAAGCCCTTGAATCAGTATCTCTTACTGAGATTAGATGATATGCTTGGAAGGCTTTTAGGTATATAGATGTGTATCGCAAAGGTTTAACAAAAAAAACTGCAGAATATGCTGTGAAAAAATATCAATCTCACCACCGTATTCCGAATACAGTTTTAAATGAAATTGGTATAACAAACAATTAACAAGTAGGCAAAAATTTTTATAATGAGTTTTGTTATATTTTATTTTTTGCTATTTAATAAATTAAATTGTTATATTTATCTTACGTTAGTGTTAATTAAATATTAATTAGAATTGGTGTTAAATAGGATAAAAAAAAGACATTTATTTATTGTCATGGATTATAATGAAATCAAATTAAAATAAAATTTGATGTTTTCTAAAATCCACTTATACAAAATTTCATTTTAATTTGATTTTATTTTAACCCACCACATTTATTGTCAAATAGTTAAGTCTTAATGAGCGTATTTAGTTAAAAAAAAAAAAAAATTAGTAAAATTAGTATTTACAATGTTTGTATTGTTCATCAAAATCAAGTTGTATTAACCTTAAATTGTTATAATACAAGGGGGTACTAAATAATTTGAATCGAACTTATAATTGTTAGTAGTTTTTATAATACTAACAATCAGTTTATTAAAGAATAATAGAATCGAATCATTCTTTGTTTAACCCAAACCTCTGAATATGATCAAATATGAGTTTTACATTTTTATTACAATGCAATTAAGATTTCTTGAGACAAAGCATAAAATTTGCTGATTATTACAAGAATTTCTTTAAATAATGATTTTCTGGTTTTTTATATAATTATAAGGTTATTTTTTTAAACATTATAAGTGCTGCCAAGGGAAAAAAGCACCTCCATTTTTAATCAATTATTGATTCTCTTGGCAGCACTCATATTGTATAGAGTTGATTTACAAAAATAAATAAGGAAAATCAAAAATAATAATTGTGCCTTTAATAAAGATTTAGATCTTTAGCATCACAATGCTTTCAACCAAGAAATTTGGATTCACAGATCCACTTTATCATGTTAACTTAAATGTTATTAACCCAATTTTGCTGCCACAATACAACTATATATTAATAATATTGCATATAGTTGATTATGATTTAAATTACAAAATGATTACAAAATAAAAATATTTATACAATGGCATGGTTTCATTTTGTTGCAGGTATACTTGCTGGCAAAACCTGGACAAATCCCAAATTCCAAAAAAACAATTGCTATTTATAAAAGATTAAATCAAACAAGTAATCCTAATATTTTGCAAATATATTATTTATAACTACAGTATAAGAATATATACTATTTGTTTGAACAAAGATTATTAATAAAGTTTTTGAGATATTAATTTGGGATGAATTTGGGATTTGGGCGCAGACAAATTCAAACTATAGTAATTTGGGATTTGGGCGACAAGTATAGTTGCAGGTCTTTGTTTTACTTTTTTTTTATCTTTTACTTTTCTGCAATTTGATTGGCTCTGACCCAACTTTGGTCTGATTTATATTTGAGACAAAATTTGGCTACATATAATATGATATGCTGATTTAAGGATTCCCACACTATAGTTAGCCAGATAATTAAAGATTTATATTTTATACTTTTTATATCTTTTATACTTTTTATACCTTTTATACTTTTTATATCTTTTATTCCTTTTATACCTTTTATACTTTTTATATCTTTTATACCTTTTATATTTTTTATATCTTTTATACTTTTTATACTTTTTGTACCTTTTATATATTTTATATATTTTATACTATTATATTTTTTATACTTTTTATACCTTTTCTATTATTTGTATTTTGTATAACAATAGTATTTTCTTAGTATTTGTAAAAGTATATAAACCTTAGCTTTCTGCTTTCTTGTAGCTTTAGAATTAATTTCTAGCAATTTTTAGTTATTAGAATTCTTTAGACACAGATATCTATTAATAGTCTTGTATATTAAATATTGTATTATTAATAAATATATACATTTTACTCTTTGAATAAACTATAAATAAACTATACCGAACTGCCCTAATGAAGTAACATTCTATTTTACACCACTTCATATCTTTCTTTGTTGTCTACAAGATTTCTGTTACTATGTGCTGTGTTGCAAATACTATATTTACAAGAAGGCTATAGTCACTTGTAATAATATCAAGATCCAAATTTAAAAATAATTATAAATAAGAGTTTAACTTAAAAATATTTATTTATAAAAGTCTAATTTTTGAAAATATTACAAATATAAGCTCAAGTAATTTTGCATTATATAAATCAGTGCTTATTGTAGTTTAAGTATAATCTTAAACTAATTATAATTTAACTTATATATTTATATAGCTCAAATTTTACTTCTAGTACATATTAATTATTATCATTACTATATTAACAAATATAAATTAGTGATTATATAAATACTTTTATTTATTTTTATTTTTTTTATTTTTTTTTTTTTAACTTTGGTAACCTCACACAAATTTATTAGATGTATGTAAGTTTAAACTATCTAAATTCATATTTGGCTAATACCCGGCTTCTATAAAAGTGCCCAAGTACAGTTATCGCACTGATGTTGGCCAACAAATCCCACATGTG